ACAACAGTAGGTTTAGCTGCATCAGCTAAAGCAGATTTGATCACAGCTTTCTGCTGCAGACTGAAGTCAGTGGAATTAATACAATGGGCCGTGAATGGTTTGACAGTTCTGGAGTTGGAAGGGGAAAGAATTAGGCCCTGACCCACCAGCCTCGTCCAACAGGAGGGCAATAACTGCTTTAATTCTCCAAATTAAACCCACCACAGAAAAGGAAACGTCCAAGCAATAATGCACACTTGGAAGTCTCAAGAATTGCTCTCACCAGGAGAATCAAACACACTTCCAAAGCTAATTTGGAACAGAATCCCTTGTCTGGTACACATTTAAATGCTGGGCAGAAATGAAGCCGATGAAATCAGCACCTGTCAACATAATCTATGTTTTTCAAAGTCAACAGCACAAGGTCACCAGCCCCAACCTACCGTAGGCCTCCTCGATCAGGCTGCAGTAAGGGTTGATGCCCGTCCCGCTCTGATTAGCCTCCTGCTCCCCAAGCCTCAGGATGTTCTCCAGGCCATTCAGTGCCACCTGAACAATCTTTGAGTCCATAACAGTCAGCAGGTCACAAAGAGGCTTGATACAACCCAAGTTTACCAGGTATCTACAAGGAGAGCACCAAGAACGTACACTCAGCTTTGAGGATAGCAAGCATCACCTTCATTCATTAGACAAACTCACGACAATGAGCCAAACTAATGTTACCTAATAATATAGGAATATGTTTTGCAAAGCTTTACTCCATTACTACTTTGTCTTGCAATTCCCAAAGACAAAGCTGCCACGTATTCAGCACGATTTCCCCTAAAAGGAGCCTTTGGGAGTACCTGATCTGCTCTGGCGTTCCTCCTGACGTTGCATTTGTAATAGCCCACGCTGCCTCTTTCCTTGTACGGAACTCTGCTTTCTGCAAGATTTCTATCAGCACCGGGAAGATGTTTGCATCTATGACTGCCTGGGGAGAGAGAACAGGAAGGAGGGTTTGAGCTGGCAACGTGGTTTCCAAAAACAGCTGAAAAACCCTAACTCTACTTTCCAATAAACTTTCCAGGCTAAAACTTTTTTAACGATTCCTCCATTTTATTCCTCTAGCAAATCCCTTTAACACAGGCTACTCAATTCCATAATTAGCACAGTATTACTGCATCAGTACTGCAAAAGGCCTTTCATTTTACCTGCCTTTTTATGTAGGCCATTGAAAGGCCAATTAAATCTCAAGAAGCTACAGTTTTTCAACAGGGTATCTCTAATTGAGCAGGGAGAGACATGATCTTTATGTCCTTTTCTTACTCCAACGATCCCACAGTGAGGACTCATTTCAGGAGTAGTCTTTGTAGGCAGAGTTAGCATATTTTAGCTATTTTACTTGGCTGACAGCTAGAAGCAACCTGCCTGCAAAAA